AGTATTTTTTGATTCCAGAAAAGTCCGAATATACTTTTTTTTTTAAGCAAAAAACGAAATGTCAAAAACTGCCAAACGTCAATTTATTGGAAGTCATTGGAATGCACTACAGGAAGTCATTGGAATACCCTATTGATTCCTCTACTTTAGCATTGCCAACATCGGATGCGGATGTCACTTTCATTGACGTATTTAAAACTAGGCTCTCCCTGTACTTCCGGTAGTGCTTGGGCCCAAACCGATGCCGGATGAATATAATTTGACAAATAACAGCAGTAGAGGTAACGGAACGATTTTTTGTGTGCTGACACAGGCACTCGCACATCGCACACCGCGAAATGTTAACACACTGTGCAACTGTGCTACTGCGCTAATCGAAAAGAGTGACGTGTGACTGTGCGTGCGGCACATCGATGAGTGTGGAAGCTGTAAAAAAAATCACTGCAAACCATAGGTTAGGTTAGGTTGATGTGGCAGTCGGTTCAATTTACCAACTCACTTAGACCTTTTGAAGGTCCATTGTGGTACCACTGCAGAACACGGGAACCTCGGTGACTATTCTTCAGAGAACCAATTTGAGGCTCTTATAAAGCGTAGAATCGGTTTTATTCCTACGCGTGATAGTTCCGTAAGAGAGCTAAAGAAGGGCCTGCCTAAAAAGCTTGCTCTCCTCTTGGCCAAAGCTGGGCAGCTGCAGAGGAAGTGCTCTACGGTTTCTTCCTCTTCCTCATCTCTGCAACTTCTGCAATATTCGTGGGAGAAAATTCCTAGTCTTGAAGAGTGCCTGCCAAATAGCCAGTGACCGGTTACACAAGCCGTGACCTTCGCAATGTCCTCTCTTGAGAGGCACAGCAACTCTTTCGTCTTTTTCTTTTCTATTTGCGGCCAAAGCAGCCTGGTTGTTCTACATGTGCCCTCCTCTAGCCATGACCTGTTGGCCTCTTGGATCATGCTATTTCGAAGTTCTAATTTGCAGGTTGCCATGGGTATCCCAATAGTGCCCCTGTTTTCACATAGGGGTAGATTCGTACCTTTCCTGGCTAGCTCATCAGCCCTGCAGTTTCCTTCAATATCTCTGTGTCCCGGAACCCATATGAGGCTGACCTTGAACACGGTGCTAATATCGTTTAGAGCTGCGAGGCATTCCTGCGCAACCTTCGACCTCAGCATTACCATGTTCATTGATTTAATGGCCGCCTGGCTGTCCGAGAAAATATTAATCGTAGTCTTCGTTACGGCATGTGTACTAAGGTACACAGCCACCTCTTTTATGGCTAAAACTTCTGCCTGATAGACACTGCAGTGGTCCGGAATTCGGACGGATAGTTCCAGTCCTAGTTCCTTAGAGAAAACTCCGTAGCCAACCCTATTGTCTAGCTTGGATCCATCTGTGTAAAAATTCAATTCCCCCCGTCTCCATGGTCTTGGCATTTGCCATTCTCCTCTAGACGGGATGCTCGTCTTAAAGAGCCTATTGAAGATTGGTTTGGGAGCGGAGTAGTCGACTTCTTGGTTGTAACTACCCAGAGTGTGAAGTATGGAAGCGTGACCAAACCGCCGATCCTTCCATAGCACCATACTTCTTAGTTTGAGCGCTGAATCGGCGGCCGCGTATTTTCCCACCAGGTTTATTGCGGGTAAATTGGTAATCACCTCCAGCGCCTTATTTGGGGTGGTCCTTAAGGCACCCGAAATGCATAGAAACGCTGTTCTTTGGACCTTACTCAATAGTTTTAGGTAACTTGCCTTTTGAGTTGCTGGCCACCATACAACTATTCCATATAAGAGTATTGGCCTGACCACCGAGGTGTATAGCCAGTGTGTAATACGAGGTGTTAGCCCCCACTTGATTCCGACCGCTTTTTTGCATGTGTATAATGCAACGTTGGCCTTCCTTACTCTTTCCTCTATATTAGGTTTCCACGTTAGTTTCCTGTCTAATATGAGTCCTAGATACTTAACATTCTCCTTCAAGGATATCTCCACACCCATAAAGATTAGCGGGGAGACCATGGGAGGCCTGTGTTTCCTTGTGAAGAGAATTGCTTCGGTTTTCTCGGGGTTTACTCCGAGTCCCCTACTCTCTGTCCAGTTCCTAAGCGTGGCCATGTTAGAGCGCAGAATCTCCATTAGGGTATTTGGGTATTTGCCTTTGACGGCAATTGCCAGATCGTCAGCATATGCTGTGACATGGCAACCCCCCCTCTCTAGTGCCACCAGCAGAGAGTTCACCGCCAGATTCCAGAGAAGAGGGGAGAGAACCCCTCCCTGGGGAGTGCCTCTACAGACCTTTCTGCTTATTGTGGTGTTGCCGAGCTTAGCGGTTACCGTCCTGCTGACAAGTATAGACTCGATCAGCACCGCCACATTCTGGTCAACTCCAAGCTCTTCTAAGGCACCCGTTATGGCGCTTGCGTTAATATTGTTGAAGGCGCCTTCTATGTCTACAAAGGCAACCAGAGCGTACTCTTTGTCGAATAAACTTTTTTCCACCAACCCAACGAGCGAGTGCAAGGCGGTTTCCGTGGATTTGCCTTTCGTATAGGCATGCTGCGCTGGGGAGAGCCTACTTGTTGGTATCACGCCCCGTACATAATCATCCACTATCCTCTCTAAAATTTTGAGAAGGAAAGACGTAAGACTGATGGGTCTGAAGTCCTTAGGGTTGGTATGAGAGGACCTGCCCGCCTTGGGTATAAATGAGACTTTTGTCTCTCTCCAGCCTAGCGGGATGTAGCCCATGTTAAGACAGCTTCTTATAATAACCACAATGAACGGAGAGATAGTACCCCGTGATTGCTGTAGCTCTACCGGGTGTATTCCATCAAGTCCCGGTGACTTGTAAGGACCAAAAGTCTTAATAGCCCATTCAATTTTTTCGTTTGTAATCAGTCGGTTTCCCAGATCAGATAGCCCCCCTTCATTCTGGGGGTAATTAGGTTCCACCGGCTTATTTCCAGGGAAGTGTGTGTCCAGGAGGAGACCTAAAGATTCCTCGCTCGTCGTAGTCCATGAGTTCCCTTGACCCTTGAGATAGCCAAGGTTGCATGGCGACTTTGCAAGAATTCTTCTTAATCTGGCCGCTTCCGTGGTTTCCTCAATTCCCTTGCAGTAACTTTGCCAGGATTTACGTTTCGCATTTCTAACTGCTTTTTTGTATACTTTCAGATCAGCCTTGTAGGCTTCCCAGTCCTCTGCTGCTCTCGTGGCTTTGGCCTTGTTGAACATTGACCTATTAGATTCACGTAACAAGGATAATTGTTTCGACCACCAAGGTGGTTTGCTTTTTCCCCTGTATCGAACAACCGGGCACCCGGCTGACAAAGAACTATTCATGGCTTTAGTAACCTGATTAACCAACCCCTCCAGCTCCACCTGCGTGGCGGGGTCTCGGGGAGGTATCTTTGGCAGTAAAGTCCTTAATTTATTATTGTAAACCCCCCAGTCGGTATTTCTAACATTTCTGAACTCCCTTACTTGGGGGGTCTTAAGATCTATTTCGAATTCAATATAACGATGGTCAGAATACGATTTTTCCTTCAGTACTCTCCATCTCTTGATTTTATGGGCAAACATGTCTGAAGCCAGGGTTATGTCCAAAACTTCCTCTCTACTCTTTGTTATGAAGGTCGGCTCTGAGCCTAAATTCAAGACACTAAGTTTGTTCCCTAGAATGAAGTCTAGTAACGACTCACCTCTAGCATTCGTGTCCGTACTCCCCCACATCAAGTTGTGGGCATTAGCGTCGCAGGAGGCAACCAGTGGTTTGTTCTTGAAGGCTGCTTCCTCGGCCAAGGTCCGAAACCCGTCTGGTGGCACGTCCTTGTCATGGGCCATGTAGGCAGAGGCTACCCAAAAGCTGGTTTTGTCCAGCTCAATGCTTGCCACTACCAGATCGCCGTCACTAAGCTGTGGGAGCAGGAAGATGTTTAAGTTGTTCCTTGCTAATATGCAAGCTCGAGTCTTACCTGCATTTTGTGCGGCAATAAGCTTAAAGCCCTTCATCCCAAGTCCGCAGATTTTATTGCCGTGTATCCACGGTTCCTGGATGAGGGCAACGTCGAGTCCACCGGCAGCCAGGCGGACCTCAAGGTTCGCAGACGCGAGTTTAGAGTGGTGGAGGTTGATCTGGATCAGCTTCATCAGAATCTGTCCGTTTTACCTCCACCATCGTGACATCCACGTCCGCCTCTTCGATCTCCTCACCCTCGGTGTCATCGGCGAGGAGGTCTTCTTCATAAAATAATGGCCCCAATCCGGATAGCCTCTCCGAGTCAGATGAGCATTGGCTGCTGGGCAACCCTTCTTCACCACCGCTGCGCAGGCCGGACTTGTCGCTCTCCTCACTAAGGTCCAAGCTCGGCTCGTCGCTGCGGTAGATTCGAATGGTTGCGTCATTGAACCCGAATCTCACCGTCCAATCCTTTTGCGCCAGTGGGGCTAGCGATTCGGCGTTGAGGATCAGCAACACCTGTCTTCTATTCTCTACTGGCTCCTCTATCTTCCCTACCCTCCAATTATGACTTGGCAGGTCCTTATTACAGGATCTGAAGATCCGCTCAATTCTTTCAGGCTCGGCGGGTCTGGCCGGAATCCAAACTCGAGCCCTCGGTCTGCTAGGAATGTCTTCCTTGTTGACGGCCTCGAGCTTGGCTCCCGGCCAAACTTCACCTACCTTACTAACGGCCAACCTATAGAGCTGGGCTGACCTATGGTCCTCGCAGGCGATGAGTTTAGCTCTACCCTGATACCATCCGGAATCATGGCAGAGAGGAGGAGGTCCAGGATTTTCGTCTAGGACTTGGAGGTAGATTTCGGCAATCGCTTCCTCCACCAACCTCCACTTCTCTTTGGGGATAGTCCCTTCCTCCTCCCCTCTGTCGATGAT